ACATTTTACCTGAGAGGGAGCTACCTGATAGAGTTCAGCTACAGGAGACTGAAATGCTCTGTGAGAGAGGATTTTTAAACTGGACCCTATATGCAACAGATCTAAGTATAGAGGTAATGTGAGCAGTCTGTTTGAGCTAGTGGATCGTCTGTTACAGTAGTAGTCAATGTGAGATGGGCTGCTTAACATGCTTGTTAAATTACATGGATGTATGAGGTTAGAGGAGGCCACAGAGGAAAAAGGCAAAATACTCAACATGATCAAAGTGTTGAAAGTTACATTTGAGTTTGCTGGAGATGAATAATGTTCCTGCTACAAAGATCTCACATTGTATCTATGAATATTACACTACACATTTAAAACTCGGCTCTACTGATCTGAAATGAAAGCCTGTTGGCCATGTGAGCTCTGTGCAATGCTTCCAAAGAATAAATAAAATAAAACACATTTACTAACTTAGAATAGTGTTCGGTCCAATATTTAAAAAGGACGAATAAGCACGAGCTTACAGGCGACTTACCAAATCTCCTGAGCGCTGGGTCAATGCTGTTGGGTCTGTTGGTGGCAGCCATGACGATGACATGAGCTCTTTGTTTCAGGCCGTCCATCAGAGTCAGCAGCTGAGAAACAATGCGCCTCTCCACCTCTCCATGAGTCTACAGAAAAAAACCAACATACATCGCCGCTATAAAGTTCACATTTTTAAACTTCACCTCAACTGACCTGACTGAATGAGAGTCCTTTGGCCACTGATCAGGATGTCAAAATCACTGTGTGACGGACTACTGTTAAATTACCAAAAGATGAAGAGAAATTTCACATAAATAGAAAGTTCTCTTAGATGTGGAAGCTGATTTTCATTAATTTATAGTTATAAAAACAGATATGGTACTGTTACTCAGCTATCCATTTAGTTTTTCCTCTCTTCCCACTCACCTTCTCTCTCTTAGGAGCGATTGCGTCAAGCTCATCGATAAAGATGATGGCAGGAGCGTTCTTCTCTGCTTCCTCAAAGGCCTTTCTCAGGTTACTCTCGCTCTCTCCTGCCAGCTTACTCATGATCTCAGGACCTAAAATGGAGAACCAAACATTTTGATTTCAGAAGTAAGAGCAGCATATAAAACATTAAAATATATGTACGGCTCACAAGATAACCTCCAATCCATCTAAAACACTCCAGTAATGGATAGAGACTATAGTGGGTCTGAGAATCCAATGCAGACAGCACATGCACTGCAAATTATTACTTCTATGTCCCATTAAATACAGCATTAAAAAAAAACATCCTATCTGAACACTTATTCTAAGAGAAGAGACACAGCTTCAATTGTACCACAGAAAAGTTACAGATAAGATTTCTCCTTTTATAAAACTTTTACAAATGATTCTGAAGCGAAATGTGAGGTTGTTCCCTTTTGTATATCCAAACAACCATTGATAAGATTCTGATATACACACACACACACACACACACTATAAACGTAAGATAGATTCTCACCATTAATCAGGAAGAAGAATGCTCCAGTTTCATTGGCTACGGCTCTGGCAATCAAGGTCTTTCCAGTTCCAGGGGGTCCGTACAGCAGGATCCCACGTGGGGGCTGAGAAGGAGAAAGAACAAGTTTTAATCTTTAAGAACTTTGTGTAAAATTAAAAGCACTTGAAAGATAGAAATAGAAGAAATAGATAAAGGCAGACTGAATGTCTCTACACTGTGAGTCAGTCACCTTAATGACAACATTACAGACACTGAAAATGGACCAGCACAACATACATGTTGTGAGGTAGTGTGCAACACTTGAAATGTACTTTATATTATTATTATTAATAAAATAAAAGACTAAATGGGTGCCTTACCTTGACTCCTATGGCCTTGAACAGTGCAGGGTGTCTAAGAGGCAGCTCCACCATCTCTTTGATCTGAGCTAACTGCTTCCTCACTCCTCCAATGTCATCATAGCCCACCTCGTTCAGGGACTCCTCCTCATCCTGCATGTTCAACACGCAACATGTTCAAAATTCAAGGTGGTTTATTTGTGGTTGATGTTAACCTATGCACTGTGTGTACCTGCTACCTACCTCTCTCCTGATTGGCTCTCCCTCACAGTGGATGACTGTATCAGGAGCGACGATGCAGTAGGGAGAGGGATCGGTCTCCACCACCTTGAACTCCACGGCGCGCATACCTCCTCTGACCAGGAAAATATCACCTTCACCAGGTAAAAGAAAATGTTAATTGTACTCAAACGTAGAAACAGATCCGAGCGGCCGTGCAATTTACACTGAAAGTTTGTACTCACCTTTGCGGATTGGCCTGTAAGCCTCAAGAAAGTACGGCTTCAGGTAGACCTCGAACAAGTTGCCAGTGATTCCCTCTACTGTGTCGTCTATCGGGAGGACGTGGATCCTCTTCCCGTACTTCACATCAGGACACGGCTGAATGCTGAACCAGAGATTAGACTCAACAACCGTTTTCCGTTTCCTTAAAGGGTCGTGGAAAGTATTCGTGCAATTTCCCTACCTGATGACGTCACCCAGTCGGACCCTCAGGTTGTTGCGGACCACCCTGTTCATGCGAACCTTTTCATCGGAACAGGTGTCGTCGGACAGCACGATGCACACCGTCTCCCGCCTCTTCTTTCCCTTCATCAGCACTGTGTCTCCACGGAAGAGCTGCAGCTCGTCCATCTTGGTCTTAAGACGGAAACAAAGTCGTTTTTAAAGATTTTAGATGAAAAATAAACATCCAAACGTCCGATCGATGACACACTGCGGGGTTTAAACGTTGTGGAAACAGAAAATCTTCTACCTGAGAGAGAGAGACCACACTGTTGTCTTCATTGATGGATTCATCCACAATCAGTCTGTTGGGTCTGTTCTTCTGTTTCAGGATCGCCGTGGCTAGATCATCATTTTTGGATCTATGATGAGAAACAAAAGAGAAGTTGTAGGTTAATCAAAGTACTTCTTATAGACGGATACTTTATTTAACCAAGCTGCTCAAATTAGTAACCGTCTTAACAGTTTCCTGTACATATTTGTGTTTTACATTTCTACTATTCGACAGCAAATCGATGTTAGATTTAGTAACTTCATTGTGACACTGAAACTTCTCAGTTTCTGGTTCAGTTTCCCTTCCAGGAGGATTGGAAAACACCTTGGCTTGATTATAAACTCAAGATCAAACAGTCTGAAGAGAGATGGGGCATAAACAGCACTAACACAAATACTTTCACTATTGATTGTTTGGTATTTCTACTTGTAAACACATTTTACTAAACCGTCTCTGTATTTCTCGATAAACCCATCCGGGAATATGAAATTAAACTTATATCACAAATAACAGGAGGCAAATCCGAGCAACATAATCCATCTATTGCGTGTTTACGTCCCCTAAATTAATAAACTAACTAAGTCACAACTCGCCAAACTTCACCTACACGCACAATCCCACGTACAGGTGAAATGCGGGTTTCATAATAGCTCCACGTTTCTGGAAAACTCACGAAGCAGTTCTGCAGTTTCCCTTTCGTGTTGTTCAGCACGCTAATGTTAGCCTCGGAGCTAAGTGACTGGCTCAGATGACACAGCAAAAGAATCAGAAAAAAAAAAATGTAAAAACTTTGTTAGGGAGCTCCAGAGAGAGAGTTTCACGCGTTACAGCTGCACCGGGACTTTAGGTGCACTCACTGGGGCTGTACGAGAGGCCTGCGTGGGGATTAAATTGAGTAAATGTGTTATTTCACGACTGTTTTGGCCAACAGCGAGTCGGACTGAGCAGCCTAGCTCCCCCGTTAGCTCCCGTTAGCCGCACAGGATGACTAACGTTAACAGTTTTACTCCAAATTTAACCAACTCGCTGATTAAACCTGCGTTTGTTCCGATTCACAAAGCGAAGCCAACTCCTTAACGACAAGTAAAACACATAAAAACCAGCTCATGGAGCCGGTGGAAAGGGGCCCCGCAACTGTGTCGGTGTGACGCTGGACGGGCTTTCTTCGGGCCTTGACGCCGTTGCTAAGCTAACGTTAGCATTCAAACAGCGATGACTCCGCTTTGTCGAGCCGCTGTCACGCAGCTGGAACCGGCCGAAAGGCGAACCGTGCGGGGGGACAACGGGCTCACAACCGCCGGCCAACCCGTCGGGATAACACCCAGCTGTCAGCGGGATTTTAAAACCAACCGACCGACTCCCCCCCCCCAAAAAAAAAA